CCCAGTAGATAGTTGTATGTCATAGCTGCACACCCTTCTAGTTGCTGTATGTGGGACTCGGCCTCAGGATGGACGGAGAAGCGGTGCCTCGATGCGCACCCGGGATCCGAACCCGGGCCACCAGCATTGCAGCGCGCGCACTTAACCACCAAGCCACAGGGCCGGCCCTGAGAACATTTTCAAAGCCCTTGATATGTATTGTCAAATCCCAGCTCCTTGCACAAGGCCTATTACATGGTAAGTACTCAGTAAGTAATTGTTGAATGAATAAATTCAACAATTTATTGAATTTCAGAAAGGTTGAACCAATATATATTCCCACCAGCAGTACGTGAGAAGAGCCTTGTCTTGGTCAGTCCATATCATGACGGGAGTAGTAATTAAAGCAGAATTTTGGTTTTTATGATTCTGGCAATGAAATAATCCATTTGCCTTTAAGAAATGGAAGTAAAAAGTTGAATCCTCCCTCAATGATGATATATGGTTTTGTTTTAATAGACTGCTGCTTTTAAACACTGGGACAAAAATGGAAGGTAGGAACAGTTCTGATTATTTTAGGACTGAATCATGAAGTTCCATGTTTCCCTCTTCACATGTCTCTCCACTGGGTCTTGGCCCTTAAGTCAGCATATTATGGCTACCTGGCCACTTAGGGTTGCCCAACAATCCCATTAAGCTTGAGATTGGGGGGGGGGTACCCTTTAGATATCATCTAGGCCTTTGCTGTGACGTCAAATTTTGGTGTGTGTGTTGCGGGGGTGGTTACCAAGAAACTTTGTTCTCTTGTCTGAAATGTAGAAATTTAGGGGAGACGAATTTAAGAGTTAGAAACCTTCCATTCTGTGAACTGTAGGGGAAGGAAGAAACTAATATTGTTTGAGCTTTTATTATGTGCCAAGCCCCTTCCTATCCTACTGCATTCCTCATACCAACCTTTTCATACAGGTATTATTATCTCCATTTTGCAGAGGGGGAGCTGGGGCTCAGAGAGGTTGGGTAACTCACTCAAGGTCACACAGCTGGTAAATGCCAGAGACCTGGAGATCTGGTTAGCTAATCCAAGTCTAACTCTCTCTA